AAAAAAATATTGCTTTAGGGTTTGGAATATCTGCACTCGTCTCCGATCGGCTTCCACGGTTCCCTTACACCATGGGCATGCCTCATTGATCGAAACTGGATGATAAAACTGACGGATTTCGGTAGGTTCTATGAAAATGACCTATGTAGAGAAGAAAAAATAGTCTACTTTTTTTTGAATGACCGGCTTACCAAGTTTTGCAGGGAGCAAAATTCCTGTCAAACTCTGATTTCCTTCGGACAAAAGTTTTAGGAAATGATGACTTAGATATGTGAGCAGGGGGAGGTTAGTAAAATCATGGGGCAAGATCAAATTATCTTACGAAACGTTTCTTTTTTCACGATCCCGGTGGATTGCCTTACGGTAATCGGAAGCAGTCAAATACTCAAAAAATTGTATCCCATTTACGTCAATAAGGAGAATTTCGTACTACATTTTACTGAACAACAGCCTTTCTAGGAATCGCAGATTCTTTGGAACGATGGGAAAAACAGGGTTTGATTGCTACGGAAACCCTGAAGGAAGGTGAAGACGAGTGGAAGAGTGGTTCGATACAAAAAACAAGTAAGTACGCTAAATTTACTAAATTGCTTACGTTATCAAAATATAATAGTAGCTAAGTCCCGAGTTTTTATGGCTGTCTTACTGTACATCCATACCAGCGGGAACCACAATAGTACAACTGTTTCAGGTATACTATATCAGCCACCTGAGAAACTACAAAATCGTGAGGAAAATCGAGTGCGGCGAGCTGATCAGGTGCGTCTGTCATAAATTTTGGGGGTGCGGTAGATTACAAAAGCCCAACCCTTCTAGGCTCCTATAAAAACAACCAACTGATAACTCAAAAATTTCCAGTCTTGGGTGAAGCAGACACAAGCCAGGCGTCAAATGGGTGATATCTATGCGTTCGGAATGGTCATGTACGAAATTCTATTCCGAGCACTGCCATTCCCAAGTACTGCTGACATTGATGGTAGGTCTCAATATGGTATACGGTATCTTAGTGCAAAGAATCGATACCACTCCAATCTTCAGAGATTCTCGAATACATTCGCGATGGCAAGCGATCATATCGCCCGACCATTCAGCAGAAGTCCGAGATTCATCCTGATCTTGCCGCCCTTCTTCTGGACTGTTGGCATGAAAATCCGGAAGCACGTCCATCGATTCGACGAGTTCGACTGAACACTGAAAGCTATTTGAAAGTGTAAGTGGTTATAACGAAATTTGATAAGTCGATTAGTCATCCCCAACTACCATAGACAGCTTGACCGATCTTCACTTCCATTCCACAAGTTCAACAGAGCTTTATGCGCCTCTGCGAATAGGATCGGATTGATGGCGTGGCTCATCTGAGCACCCTAATATGTCCCGAAAAATTCCTGGTGCTATAAAATTTCAATGTTCCATTTTCAGAAGAGGCTCTCTTGTCGACCAAATGATGCGGATGATGGAACAGGTATGTTTTTATTGTCTTTACTGCGACTACTATAGTTCATTCCAAGTAGATAAACAAGACGGCCTAGGAGGGCAGAAATGACGGTGTCAGAAAGTTGCGGGACAATGTGTTTTCCTTCATTCCCCATATCTTCTTTCAAGGATTTCGATGTCTTTCTAAAATATTTGTATTCCTATGTGTTAAGCTGAGATAATTACAAGAGCTCCATTGCAGTACGCCAACAATCTGGAGAAACTCGTCCAAGAACGTACTGGAATGTTAGAAGAAGCGAATGTACGAGCCGATAAACTTCTCTCTCAACTACTTCCGAAGTAAGCAGCTTCTTCTTTTCGATGTGTTAAGAAATATCATGAGCTCTAATGACTAGTCTCCCTGCTCATCGTTCGCCTTTACCACTGGGAAAAGCGCAGCAGTAAGGTGCTTAGGCTAAATAGTTAGTTGTGTCCTCCCGGTTATTTATAGAGCAAAACTCTGCGACATAGCCAACAGACATTTCCGCCCTCGACTTTTTTTGGCTAAGTCAACGCGGTAGCATCTCCTGATCCGTACCTAAATAATGCCGTACATTTTATTTATTTTGCTTATTTATTAGTTATTTATTTATTTCTTTTATTTCAGATACGTGGCAAATGAATTGAAACTTGGTCGACCGGTACCTCCAAAAATGTTCGCGTCAGCAACCGTATTTTTCAGGTATCTATACAAATTCATTAGGAAATATATCTTTATACAAAAGCTTGAAGCGATCTCTGATTAATTCGATAGTTTCGAGGTAGAGAGCACCAATTTTTCAGTGATATTGTTGGTTTCACCACGATATGCTCATCGTCATCGCCATTAGAAGTGGTCAATATGCTCAATGGGATCTACACTAAATTTGATGACATCATTAATAAAAATTCATCGTATAAGGTTAGTTCCAGAATGAAAACTTTGAAACATTTAAAAAATGTCGAGTTGTAGAAAACTGTCCGTCAGTGTATGACTTGAAGGCGAAGAAACTTTTAATAGAGTACCTACAAATCTCAAAGTAAAATTGGGGCCTGTCTTGGAGACACTGAAGAAGGTGTACCAGACACATCTCAAATGGAACTCTTACTCTAATTCTTGTTTCGGCACGTATAATAAGAATTCTCTGTTTCTGCTGTAGCATCCGGCAGAGAAATATGAGAAAGCTTCAATGTGAGAGAGCGCAGACGACACTAGAAAGTGTTGAGTGGGTCATCCAGAGCTACAGTGTCATAGCACGAAGAGTTTTTACTTTCCATTGCTGAGACACAGCGATGCTCCTCTCCCCCTCCCCTTTTTCGTTCCACTTGTATCGCCCCCAAAAGATTTTAGTTCCAGACGAACGCCTCAGATTTCCTCTCTATTTGTTAAAATTTCCAAATTTTTCTGAAAAAAACTGATTCAGGTAGAAACGATTGGTGATGCATACATGGTTGTGTCAGGAATTCCTGAAGAAAATGGTACCAGACATATCATGCACATTGCTGACATCGCCCTAGAAGTGATGGAGGTATGCTATTGTTTAAACGCTCACGAAGAATTGAAAGTCCGGAACCTAATTAGGAGTATCGGAGAAAAACTCTAGATCAGAGGTTAATCCCAAAATATGATCGACTGAATCATCGGACGCTTTATTCATTTATTATTTTTCTATTTTTTATTACTCTATTTGTTCGAGGTTATTTTTTAGGTGCTTAAAACGTACGTCATCCCACACAAACGCACTACACGTCTACGTATCCGTGTTGGCTTCCATTGTGGTTCTGTGGCGGCCGGTGTGGTTGGCCTCACAGCTCCGAGATACTGTCTCTTTGGTGATACGGTATGTTACAGTAATGTCATAATGTCGCTAGGATGACGACGACTAACAGGGATTTGACTATTCAAACGAGTAACTCTTGCTTTTGTCTCGGTTCGTTCTGCAATGTCTCTCACCTTTGAATGTGCTGCAATCAAGTTGCGAGTTCACGGAATTCCCTAGATCTTTTCTGAGCTTTTCGGGGTATAGCCCAATATGATTAATGTGTTGCTTAATTGGTAACCTGAGCAATTACCGTAGTCTCCTGGTACCTTTATACAAGCTGAATTTGTCGATGAAATAAGGGCAACAAAAATTGTAGAATGGCATACTAGTGAATTGCAACGAATCGAATTTCAGGTGAATATGGCGTCCCGAATGGAATCAACAGGTGAACCGGAAAAGATTCAAATGTCCCAAAACGCAAATGATATGCTGGGCAAGTACTATCCAGAATATAAAACTGAACACAGAGGAACAGTTGAAGTGAAGGTTTGTTTTGCTATGGTTAGAAGTAAGCAGATGGTCCTAACTCATCTATTGGCTCAAAGAGTATCTCACGATGGGATTTTACTTGCCCTGAGACAACTTAAACCCTTTCACGAATGGGAGGACCACTTTCCATCAATAGCTAACAAAATACGTTTTACAGGGCAAAGGACCATGTAATACCTACTGGTTGTTGGGAAAGGAGTTGAACCAAAGCGCCACGATGAATCAGGAAGAAGTTCAGCAGCAACTTGATTCCATGGCCACTCTTGGCATGTCATCGTAGACCAGAACTGCTATTTTTTCATTTTTCTCACTAACTTCTTACTGTCAACTATTTGATTATTTTCGTAACTATTACTTGAATCGATTACGTATTGTCGCAAATCATTTATTACCGAAATCTCATCTTCCGACCGGAGTGGATTTCCAAATTATATGAAATGAACAGCTACGTAACAGCCTCAAAATGGCAAAGTTTGTTCTTGATCTCATTTTGATTCCAAACTAGTCCACTTATTTTTCTTAATGAAGGAATGGATCTGAAATTTGTTATTTTATTCTCAGTATCAAAATAATTTACTATTACATGATTACTTTAAAACAAGCATAGGGTTAGGTAAACCTGGATTCTAATGTTGTTGAGAAGTTTTTACGCGTATATGAATTGTGTCTTTGTCTTCCTTTTGATCAGAATATACCGAAATAAAGTCTTCCAATCATTTTTGATGAGAAATTCTGAAAAGTACCGGGTGCGCTTCGTTGCGCGCGTCCTTCGAAACTAGGTTACGCCGCAGCCGTCGCATGCGGCGGGTCCGCCGGCGACACATGACAGACGTTGCAGTTGTCAGTGGGGCATACGATTTGCGCGTGGTCAACGGCAGTCAGCCAAAGAGAAGATAACACTGGCGATTGCAAATTCGCTCCACTGACACTTGGTGGTACTGTAATGTCATCGTGAGACCTCAGTGGGATGCGCCGCGCGCGAAGTGGGCGGGGTGACCTACTTTCGACGGATGCGCGCAAC